GCCTGCTAGCACAACACACCTCACAGGATCATTGTTACTGGAAATGAGATGAGGAAACATTGCGTGCCACCTTGAGCTTCTGACAAAAATAAACATATGAATCTAATAAATAAACAACAGAACAAGCATCCGATACCAGGAAAATTGTCAGTAAGACCTCTCCTGCAGATTATGATTACTGGCAAGTTTATAAATAAAAACATAGTTTAGTTGTACTTTAAGCTTCACCTTTAGGCTATTGTTGAACCTTTAGGGTATTAAAGATGAAAATAAGTTTCTTATACCTTGTATGGGACAGCAGCCTAGCTGTCACTTTTTCAACTAATTACTACTTGTAGAAGTTTCCTGCAGTAATTAAGACAGGATTTAATTAAGCCCTGGATAACTTTACCATCTTATTGGCTAAGGAAAAATAGTAGGAGGTACTGTACACTAGCTGCAAGTGTGCAAAAACAATCTCCACCAGTCACTATCTTTGAATTCATCAACAGTCAAGATCAAAAAGCTCTTTTAAAAAGCAGCTCTGCTGTAAAGTAGCTAAACAATTATCAATTCTAGTTACCTATTTACAAACACCTGCATTTATCTGGATTCTATTTAAATACCCTAAGGATACTAATTTAGTATATTCTGCCAAATGAACATATGTAGAATAAAGTCAATCTGCATTCATTAATTGTAATCTCAAATAGCTTTGAATTTGAGTCAAACTTAACCATGCTTTCCACATGGTTAAGTTTAATTGAAAGATGAACCTTATGTATTCAACTCAAACACAGTATAAAAGATGTAAAGATTAAGTCAATACTGGAATTTAGTTGATAGTTCTGCTATTAATTCACCTCACAGGGTTGTTGTGGAGAAAATATAAGGAGGAAGGCATATTGGATATGTATGCTACCTTGAGTTATTTGTAAAAGTTATAAAGGTGGGATATAAATAAATAAACAAACAATGTTTACCTAAATCCAAACTTATTAAAACTACTAATAACAATTCAACATCTTGACTTGAAAACATGTACTCAAAGATGTGATGATATACAGGAAGTCCTTGACTTACAACCATAACTGAGCCCGAAATTTCTGTTGCTAAGTAGGACAGTTATTAAGTGAATTTTAACCCATTTTCTAACCTTTCTTGACAAGTTGTTAAGTGAAACATTGCAGTTGTTGTAAAACAGTTGTTAAGTGAATCAAGTTTCCCCACTGACTTTGCTTGTCAGAAGGTCGCAAAATATGATCACATGAACTTGGGACACTGCAACTGTTATAAATATTCAGCGGTTGGTAAGGGTCTGAATTTTGATCATGTGACCATGGGGTGCTGCAATAGTAGTATGGAAAATGGTTATGCCACTTTTTTCAGTTCCGTTGTAACTTCAAACAATCACTAAATGAATGGTTATAAGTTGAGGACTATTTGTATATATTTGAGATTCTGGACATTTACAACTTAGAATGCAAATTTACAATTACTTCAGCACTGTCTTTAAAAATTACATTTATTTTTACTAAACCCTAAGCTGCCTCTAAAAACTAACCTATGATAGTTCGTTCAAAGAAGTTTTAAACCTATAAGGCTTTGATACAATCACATATTTATAATGCATAATAAATGAAGATATACGTGTGTGTGTCTGTGTGTGTGTGTGTGTGTGTGTGTGTGTGTGTGTATACCACGGTAGTCAGGACAATAAATATTACTTACAGTATAGTTTTCTGTATTCATCACTTTCTTAAAACTGCAGTAATACAACAATGTAAAAGAACACAAAGCAATTTGCCTTCCTACATCATCATACTTCATATAAGGCATAGAATTTTAATGTAATTGTATATTAAGGGATTTGAACATCCATTATCTTACTACTGCTATGAGGTAGAAGGATTTTTTTATGCCAGAATATTGTAGTAGGGAATCTGAACAAATTTCTATGACAGAGATGAGATATTTCTAATACATAATCATTAAACCACATCATATTGTGTATCATATGTTTTTGGAAGAGGGATGCAGATAAAGGGAGATTGGATGGATTTATTAGTTAACTAGTGACTACTACTGCTTGCTCTTGAAGATAGACCTATTCTGGAGACTTAATTTATTACTTTTAATAATACCACAACTGACAAGATATTAAGAAACAAATATAGATTTTTGACCCAGGACAATCTATTTATGACTTTTGGGATGATTCAGGATTAAGGTGTCATGGTAAATTTTCTACAAGTAGATTAAAATAATAGTTTGTTAACATAGAGTTTTGAAACTTTAATTTTGTTCTTTTTTACTATTATTGTTTTTCCTTAACTACTTTGTCATTACTATAACATATAGAAGATAAGTCATCAAGTTGTTAATAGATTTAGTCATTTAAAAATTCAGGGTGGCCCATTTCGCAAGGGGTGGGAACTGATGTTGTAATAATATATTAATCAGTATGCAACTATAGGGGATAATATAAGTTCTGATGCATCTTTTTTAATGTTCGGATTGCTTTATGTTTTTCTTTCTTTTAGGTCTTCTTGGATTATGTAGTTTAACTTTGTTCTGAATAAAATAAAAAAATTAAGAAAAAGAAAAAAGAAAAAGTAGAACTATTTATTACCCAAAACAATTGCATAACCTATATATAATGGCAAAATAAATATGAGCATCCATTCATGTAAGAGTGAACTACTAAGACCTTTTAAAAACATTTAGGTATGGAGCCAAATTCACATAGTCCATAATAAGGCATATCAATAATATATCAAGCAACGTGATGCAGAATAAAGACTGCAAGTCTGATCTAACAATAAAAAGAGAGGGTCTGCCACAATTCTCACCTCTGTACAAAGTTCGTGGGGCATGGACCAAGTAATACGATTTCCCAGGGCAGTCCACTTTATGAAATACCTACCAGAGAAGTTTAAAAGGCCCAATTTGGTTGATATTTTGTAAGCAGATCAAATCTATTTTATTCAATGTGGGTTTGGCCTTAGTTTAGAATATCCAATCTCAAAAACACCCATCATGTTTATTGATGATCTTTTGATGATGCCTTAATTTTGTGAACTTCTGTTCACTTTTGTTGTTCAGACCTTTTTTCATATATCCTGAGTCTCTCAAGATTGGGACAGGCTATAAATACAGTTACATAAATAAACATTAAAAAAATTGTAGGACCTAAAATACAACTAGTATTCCTATAGATGCCATGTTCTAATAATTATTAATAGTTATTATTACTATTCCTAATAGTGGAAAATTAAGCAATGTAGTGAATATTCTGGTGGATATGGAGGTCTGCATGAGGAAAAATAGGCTTCAGCTTAACCCAGCAAGACAGAGAATCTTTAGGGTTGGGGCCTTGCAAATTCTAGGACTATAACATCTTTAGTGCTGGGGTTGGACACCCTAGACAGACCCAGTGTGCAACCTGGTAGCCCTTCTGGACTTACAACTCCTGCTAAAGCTAGTGACAGTCATGGGTAGGATGGCTCTTGCACAATTTTGTTTTATTTACCAACGGTGCACATTAATGAATTAGAGGGCTCTGCTCAGTCACTCATGCCATAGTCACCTCCCATATGGATTACTGTAATGTATTCTATATGGAGTTGCCCTTAAAGAGTATCCAGAAACTTTAGTTGGTGCAAAATGCATTGGCTCAGTTATGTGTGCTCCTAGGATGCCAATTGTTACACTTCTGGTCTATGAACTGCATTGGTTGCAAGTCTGCTTCAAGGTTCAATTCAAAGTTTTATTTTTGACCTTTAAACCCTACATGACATGGGGCCAGGTTATCTGAGTTACTGCTCACCTCAATTACATCTGCCCTTCAAATCCAGCAGAAAAAAAATGTGCTATGGATCCCATTTGTTCAGGAATTAAACTTGATGGGCCCGTGGAGGCATGCCTTCTTTGCCATGGTGTCCTCCTTATGGAACATTAGCTACTTACTTTCCATAGCTACTTACTTTCCAGTAAGTTCCTCAAAACCTGGCTCTGTCATCTCAGGGGACCAGTGGGATTTTGAGTTGACTAGCTAATCCAGCTAATGTAATATATGCTTTATACTTTTAAAACTTTTTAATAATGAATGGGTTTTTTTTACATTTTATTCCCATTTTTGTTGTATGCTGTCCAGTGTCACTACCAATGAGACAGAGCTTTAGAGATATAAAGATATTTAAAATCTGGAAAATTAAACTATAGGGGGGAAAAGTAAATTGGATTTAGAGATGAAATTTTCCCAAGTTCCAAAAAAACATACATCCTAATATTGAGTGAATGAAGTCACAACTAAGTTATTACACTAACCTATTTATAAGAATGGCATCTATTATATATATCATCGTAGGGATACTTAATTATTAGTACTGTGGGAGAAATACTCAGCTTTTATGTGTACAACAAAAATAACTAATTAAAATTAATATTAAAAAGGCAAATTAAATTTCAGTAAGCATCAGTGTTGTATAGAATATCTGAATTTTAAAATCAGATGAACTTATTCCCTAGTTCTAACACACATCTACTCTGTATTTTTTTTAATCCATAACTTTTAAATTATTATTACCATTTCAACTAGTTATACTTGTGAAATACTTTATTGTATAACTCTTTTGCTTATTTTAATAATCTATGGCATTTGTTACAAAATATTAATCACATAAACAAACAAAAATTCTTTGGGAAGACAGCTTTATCTCTTAAAAATTTTAAGTGTTTAGAATTTTCTGTGATTATTATTTTCTAAATTTCTATGTTTAAAATATTTATTGGAAACAAGTTTTCAACAAAATCTAATTTATGTATTAACACTCCATAGTAACAAGGAAATTCACCTCGCACATATTGTACATATAGTGCATATTCTTACATTTGCTGCCAGTGCTAACAGGAGCCATGTTTTATGAAGAACTACAATGTGTTAAAGCAGCTCTGACCCCCAAATGACAGATTTTATCTTATTATTATCAGTAATTTGTATATTCAGTTTACATACTTACCTAGGATGGTAAATGAAAATTACAAGGGCAGGAAAATTAAACTGCCGCCAAACCTTTGACATGTGATAATGACCTAGAAAATATTAAATAAGAGAAATATCAATGATGGAACCCCAAACTTACAACTTATTTTGCTTCATCTTTTAACTCCCCCCACAAACATGAAGTTGATATTAAAAAGTGAATCACTGTGTGCCTTGAGAAAATAAAAAGTGGAAAGCTAAATAACTAACAAAAAAAGCATCATGCTTATAAAAGGACACTGGGACTAAGCAATCAGAAGGATGACTTATTTTTGTTTTTCCTTCACCCTCTCTTGGGCCACTATATTTAATATATCCAAGATGGCAAATACCAAGAAAGTTGAACTCACATTGAAATAAGAATCCAAACAGGAAGGAATTGTTCAATCAGGGATGTATATATATTTAAACTACATCACCATCATAGACCAAATAAAATCTGGTCTGGAATCCAAACTGTAGATTAGAGATCTACAGAGGAGAAGCAGCAACATTGTAGCATACTTCCTGATTAAAATCCCTGTTCCCTTTTTCTCACCAAGAAAATCCAAAGAAAGAGGAAAAAAAATAACAAAGATTTGACTCCCACCAGCCTACAGAAAAGGAAAAGAGTTTTTGCTTGCAAACCACCCCCACCCAACTAGCCACCTACCCCACCATGCAAAGTGTAGGCAGGGCCAGAGGGTCTGAGGGTGACCAAGGTTATTAAATATGGAGAGCAGCTAAGAAGAAACCTAGGGCTTTTCTCTCTTTTTTTTCCCCTTCTGGTCACCATCAAGTTTGCATCTTAGTTACAAAATGTCGATCTTAAAGGCTGACAAGACACAGGGAAAGAGAGTGAGGAAAAGAGTCCATCTTGCTGGGGTGGGGGGTGCTTAATGAAAGGCAGTCATGCAATATATAAATCTCAACCTTTCTTGGGGACGTCTACACAACACCTTGCAGGAGAGCGTGAAGCAGAAGAGAGAAGGCAGAGAGACAGGATCTGCCCCATCTTCCTCCTCCACACACCCTTTGCCTCCCCAGCGATATTTGGTGAATCACACTGGCAGAAAACACCTCCCTTCTGCCGCTGCTCTTACTTCCCTGCTGCTCCTCCCCCCCCCCCCCCCCCCCGCGCAGGCCCAAGCTATGATCCCGCGGCTGCTGCCACCGGGGAGGAGGAGAAAGGTGCCGCTGCTGAAGCCACATGGAAACTCAGAATCCCGTGTTAGCTCCATCTTCTAACGCGTTTGGGGACCGATGGATTGGAAAGGGGGAGGGGATATATAAACGTGCGCGCACATAGACATCCCCCAAACATAAGTAAGCGTCTGGATGGGTGATAAACTGTCCCTATCTCATCCGTGCACGGGATGAGAGCAGGGATCTAAACATGTCAAGGGTAGGGCAGGCAATGGTTTCAAAACCCCAGGCCAAGTGATCGTCCTAAGCCTGCATCTTTCCTTTCCATACTCACCCGCCCCGCATGTCTCTGACAAACTTTCCGACATCTACCGGCAAGTAGTCGCTAATTTTCCCCTTACACTTTTTAAAGGAAAACAGAAAATGAAAAATAAATGAACCAATCAAGAACCAAACGCCGATCGTGACATGAATGACCGCAACCCGGTAATTGCTCTCCCCGCCCCCCCCCCCCCCCCCCCCCCGCGGCAGAAAAAAGAAAACGGACGGCAGCGTTTCTGTCCTTACTGTCTCCAGCCCCCTTCTACACATACACACACACACACACACACATACACACTCCCCTCGGTCGTACATGTTGCCTCAGCTTCTTTTTGCACCGTTTCACTTCACCTTCCACATTCAACGGCAGCGGATTGTTACAGAGATATTCCTAACACAAACCTACCGCTTTCTAGATCCCGGGATTAAGGAGACCGTCTCCATCTCCCTTTGCTCAACTGTTTTGTTTTGTCCCCCCCCCCCGAAAAAAGCCCCGATGCTGGATCCAGCTATGCAAGTTTCACATAAAACACCCGGGAGGAAGGAGAGAAGAGGGAGGAAGAAGAGAGCAGGATGCAAGTCTGATTTCTGTAATTTACCATCGACCCGATCTCGCAGCAGCAAATAACAGTTTACCACCCCGTCTGCTGGTTGAAACCTCAATAACGCCTCCAAGACACATATTCTTCTTCCTGGGCAAATAATCTGCAAGTTTTCTGTCATCGCGACCATTCGGCGTTACAACTTACCTTTAGAAATAGGACTTTAAACTGCCAAGGCCTTCCTCTCGCCCCCCCCCCGCCTCGCTCGCTCTCCACCTTAAACTTATTGACACAACATAATCCCACATTCATGCAAAATCCTGACACAGCCTCTCTCCTCCTACGTCCTTTCCTCCCCCCACCCCCCAACAATCTCTTTTATTCTTCCTCTCGGGTCGCACTATCTCCCTTTTTTTAAAAAAAGAATCGCCTAATAATTGCACATTTTGTTGTTTGTATGGCAGAACGGAGGGAGTGAAAGTAATGGCAAGATATGATTCTGTACCGGAAAATGCCGATTTCTAACTCATAAATCTAAACTGAGCCCCGCTAGATGGCTTTCCGCCCTGCACCCAGCTTCTCTCTTCCCCCTGGCCGCCCACTCTGACACAAAACACGAGCCACGCAACGCAAATAAATCAACGCACCAACATGCCCCCACCAGCTCCGTGCCTCCACTCTTACAATTAAGTTTCATTTCTTGCTGCCCCTGTCAAGACACACACACACACACCCGGAGAAAGGGAAGGTTGTTTTCATTCCTCCGGTGGGGCGCCAGCTTTTATTTTATTTCCCTCCGCGGCTGCTCCTGTCTCTGCGCGGTGAGAGAGGTGCTGCTTTTCCAACGCCGCCTGGCACTGGCTGGCCTACCCTTGTCCCCCTCCCGCGCCGCCTTTCCTCCTAATGCATTGCATTACAACTCACCTCTTTCCTCCGCCTCTCCCACCTCCCCCACCCCCCCAACACACAAACCCGGCGGGCGCGCGCGCACAGACACACACCACGGAACCCCAACCCACCATCCGCTGACCTTCTCTCGGGTTCCCCCATCCAAAGTTTCAGGGGACAGGCGAGCGTTGAGGCGGAAAGTGAACGGGAATTGAAGCAAGAGGTAAAGGACGTCAAAAGGTCTGCGCCTTCCTCGCCAAGAGTCCAGCCCGCCGGTTGTGGCGGCTATCGCTACTGGCGGCGGCGGCGGCGGCGGCGGAGCTGCTTGACGGAGTCCTGGGGGGTTGCCCCAAAGCTTTTAAGTGAGTAATAATAGAAAGGGAAGTGTTGGGAAGAGGAGCCTTTTCTCCAGAGTCGCTCAGGAAAAAAAGGGGGAGACTAGGGCACTTACCTCCCACTTGTGAGTGTATGAGAAGGAGAGAGAGGGGGAGAGAAAGACTGAAAGAGAGGGAGAGCGCTAAACAGCAGTGGCCACTCAGTGTTTCTTTATGTGAAAGTGAAGAGAGAAGCTCTGAGCAGAGCCCACCGCACACTGGTTTCACATACAGTACATGTAAGCCAGAGACCGAAAACATTCATTTTTATAGAAGAGAGCCTGCCATTGGCTCGCGGACTGAAGGACAGATTAGCCAGCCATACAGCTCGCCTGTTACACCCAAAGAGAAAAACGCACGCAACTATACTCACACGGAGGCGCACACATACGGCCCCGTACACGGTCTCCCGCGCGCGGCGCGTGCACGAGCAGATACACGCAAATGCGGTCACGTACCTAGAAATCGGTCTTTTCTAGACCTGTGGGCAGTTTGGTGCCGGGGACGCAGGTAGAAAAGAGAAAGGGGGAACTCGTCTCTTGAGAAGAAACGAGCACTCGTACACGCGCATACAAATGTCCATTAACTGACGTGAGAGGGTGTCTTGGGGTCATAAACTCCCCAAGTCCCTTGGACCTGGAAGTGTGTTTCTTGGTCACCGGCATGCGATGACCCACGGAAAAGCAGGGCTTTGTGTGACGACTTTCGAGGGGAGCTGGTAAACAATTGCCGCGGGACTGAATTTTAGTGGCGGTTGCAGAAATTATTCCAAGCTGTACTGCTCCCACAGAGGCCAAGAATCCCGAAAAGAGAAGTTCATAACGCCCAGAATGCCTCTTTTGGAGGCGCTGCCGGGCAGACGGATACTTTCCTACTTAGAAGTAGCACCCCTCCTCAGGAATGAAAGAAGAAAAAACTGAAGTAATACTTTACTGTCAAAAGCTTCTCATTCAGTATTAGAACAGCAAAGTGATGAAAAGCTGCACGGTTCAGATTTAAAATATACTTGAAGTGCCAAATCTAACCTTTAAATCACTGCTGGAAAAAACAGTGATGGTTATTCAGACGACATTTCATTACAGCAAGACACTTTATTATGGCAGATTTGCCATTACAGACAACTTCATACCATATCTTTTTTATCTGGTCAGCTCCATACGTTGTATTTTGTATCTGGTATATTGAATTGTACTCCACTTTATTGCATAGCTTTTTTTTCCAGATTCACTGAGATTTTCTCCCTTCAACAAACTAACATGGCTGATCTGCTGGAAACCAAATTAAACCGGCAACCTATGGTTGTTCAATTGAGCCAACATGTTATCAATATCAGATTTATGTTTGTTGGCATATTTTGGAGCTTGCCTAACTGGCTTAATTCATTGTATATCATGATGTGGAGTTTGTTTGAATATCTTGAATTTGTGATAAATGTAGTGTATATCATATAACCACAATATTGAAGTGGAAGAGTAGCTATCAGGAATTTTCAACAATTTGTAACCACAATTTTCTCCACCCACCCAGTTATCGGAGAATATTTTAACATCAATTTTTCTGAAATCTCTGCATATAATACATGTTCCCGTAACTAGTAATAACAATTGGGCTGTAAAACACTGTTGAAACAGTATATAAGTCTTAAGTGCTCTTGCTGTTGCTATTAAAATAATGATGAATATTATCATTTTCATGTTAATTTGTCACTGACCATCAGTGTATGCCTGTTAATCAACTTCTCATGATTTATAGAATTCATGCTATAATGAAATAATGTGATGGGGCAGAAAGACAAAGCAAATTTGGGGAAAGGTTTTAAATTGGAGAGTTACCCTGTGGCAACTCACTGTGTTTAGTGACAAAAATTAATAAAATAAAAATAAAATAAATTGGTTCCAAAATGAAGGTAACCTTTGTAAAATATTATTGTGCTCACTATTGTCCTGTATTTTTAGCACTTGAATAAAAAAGAATATTCTCTCTATAGAAAAAGTTTCTCCAGGATATAGATTTTTGTGTGTCATTCTTAATGTTTGTTTTTCTTTTTACAGGGAAGGAATGCCAAAGGGTATATGAAATTATAGGGCCATTTTACAAATTATGATTTAGAAAATAATTATTTTACCAATATGTTACAGTTATCAAGATTTGTGCTAATTCAGATTCCCTGATATGCACCTATATGGTAAAGTTGTTAAAGCATCCATGGCCCTCATTCTGCTGCTACCCAGAAGAGCCCTAAAACCTGGCTCTTTACCCAAGCCCACAAAGAGGGAGACCAAGTCCCCTCACTTCATAGCACTTACCATCTTTTATTTTTATTTTATTTTTGTATTTTCTTTTATTGTTAGCATCCCAGAGTTGGGTAGCATATACATTTAATAATTGTTATTATCTTTCATATCTCTGCATTATGGATGAATTTCATAAAATTTCTTAACGGTTACACTTACTCAAGGGACCCTTATAATACTTAGATGCTTTTCTCTATTCAATCTGTAAGAAATTTTTGAAATTTAGGGAATTATCAAAAGTAATATATTGTGTCACAATGTTTTATTAAAGAAAAAATATATAAGCTGGATTATTAAAAATATTGAAATAATGAAATAATAATCACTCAGTTTTACCACATATTAAATAATACTTTAGATCATGCAAAACTAAATTTTGACTAAAACTAGAAAATCAGTTACGCTAAGTAAACTGTGATTAAATTGACAATGGCTAATCATGTTGTCTAAACCAAGAAAAAACAATAACTTCTTTTATTAATCATATCATGTTTCTTAGATCAGCAGTCACCATCCAGTGTTCCACGGAGCACTGGTGGTCCGCAAGAAAATTTTGGTGGTCCACAGAAAAATTATTTCCAGTTTTTATATTGCACTAAATGCTATTTATCTTTTTAAAACATTCATATTAGTGGTCTGCGGAATTTAAAATTATGAATTTAGTGTTCCCTTAGGTCTGAAAGGTTGGCAACCCCTGTCTTAGATTCACACATATACAAAATATTGAACCACTAAATTGAAGCTGTAGAGAGCCATGGTGGCACAGTGATTGGAATGCAGTATTGCAGGCTAATTCTGCTGATTGCCAGCAGTTCAATCCCAACTTCCTCAAGGTTGACTCAGCCTTCCATCCTTCTGAGGTCAGTAAAATGAGGACCAAAATGGTTGGAGGCAAATAGGCTGAGTCTGTAAACTGCTTAGGCCTGTAAAGCACTGAAGGGTATATAAGTGCTATTGCTATATGGGAGACACCCAACAAGGGGATTTTCCTGCTCAATGGTTGCCTTTCCAGGTTATAGTCAACTCTCACATGAAATCTAGAGTAAACTTTTTTCAAAAATGTATGCCACAACTTACTTACTGGCCTTATATATGCCTGACAATAATTGATGTTTATGCAACAGATTATTTATTTATTTTGGAAACCTATATGGACACTTATACCATAACTCTGGTTCACAGCAATAATTCCATTAATATGAACAATGTTCTGGTATGTCCTGTAATCAACATCATAATGATAGGTCATAATTAAATAATTGAAGTTCAGTAATATAGCTGAACTATTAAAGGTACTGGTATTTCACTGAAAATTATTGCAAAGTAATATACAGTCATATCTATATTATGGCAATATTTCAAATTTGAACATCACATTGAAAAACTACACTGTTGAAAGATGCATGAGAAATGCATATGTAAATCTGTTTATTTAGCCATAATTAGAGCACGTACATTTCTTGTGATCAAATAACAGATTGGATCAAAGTAGCATATCAATTCTTGATTTATTGAACAAACTGTACTTCTTTGATTCATACATTAGACATACTTAATGGTTTACACATCACATTAAATCATAAGTAAATAAAAGTGGATAATATATATATATATATATAT